TTTTTTTTTCAGATTTAATTCATTGTTTGCTACAACATAGTTATTATTTTAGGTTCAGGGTTTATTTTTAATTTTACTTTAGGTGTATTATAAATGAACAATTTACAATTAAAATTAGATGCATTTTGGAATAAAAACAAATCTTCGAATAATTGTGTTACACATCCAACAGAAAATGAAATTCATATGTTACTGTCGAGTTCATTTCCATCATTAGAAACTGTTGAAGCACAAACAAGAACCTGTGAAAATGAATTTATATTTAGTAATGAAGTTATAGGTGGTGATGAAGTTACAGTTGGTGGTGAAGTTATAGCTGGTGATGAAGTTACAGTTGGTGGTGAAGTTATAGCTGGTGATGAAGTTACAGTTGGTGGTGAAGTTATAGCTGGTGATGAAGTTACAGTTGGTGGTGAAGTTATAGTTGGTGATGATCTTACAGTTGGTGATGAAGCTGAAGTTGAAAATGGACTTGTAGTTAGAAATGATGCTGAAAATGAAGATGAAATTAAAATTATTAATGAACCATCATGTAATAAATCATTAAGTTCAAAAAACGATCAAAATAAAAATTCATCAGTTGGTGTTAAAGAATGTTGCAATAAGAAAATAAAACCTGTTCGTTCTAACCACCGTACAAAATACAAATCTTCTTGGGAATTATTAACTGATGCACAATACAAAACGTATATATTTGATCATTGTGGTGAACGACAAGAAAAGTTCTCATGTTGGTTGTATTACATGAATAACTCGATGCATTGTAGGTTATGTGAAAAGTTTGGTAAAACCAAAAACACGAATGGTAAGATATAAGATTAGAAGACAATATATTCTCGCTTCAACATAAATCTGTAGCTTTAAAGAATACTTTTTAACTATTTTCTTTTATACTCTGAGCAAGGACATCTTTGAATTGATAAAATAACATTTGTTTACCTAGGAAAAGATAATGTATGGTGTGGAACAGGAATGAGTACAATATCTTTAGACAAAATTAAACTCCACAAAGATAAGAGTGACGTTCACAAACAGGCAGAGGATCAAGAATTGATAATTTCTTCACAAGCTCAACCTGATTGGTATAAAACTCAACAGCAACAATTCAGTAAACATGAACAGTGTGTGCAGAATCTAATGATTTCATGCATTTATCTTTGTCAAAATGATAATCCTCTGAACAATATTGAGCCATTGTGTATTTTGCTTGAAAAACTAGGAGTAAATCTTCTACCAGCTGAAGTTTCAGGAGTAACGTATCGAAATGATACAGCTGCCTTATGTTTTCTACAACATATTGCTGCTGTTTTACATCAAGATTTAATTGAGAAGATCAAGAATAGTACTTCTTTGGGTATGTTGCCTTCAGATACCTCTGGTTAATATTAATCTTGATTTTTTTGTATAACAGGATGGATGTTGGATGAATCAACATCCAGAACTACTGAAAAATCCTGTATCATTTATGTCCGTTATGTTGAAAATTATGAGGCTAAAACAGCATATTATGGGGTGATAAACTTGGATGGTGATGGTAGTGCTGGTAATATTATTAAAGCCTTAACCAGCATGTGGGAAAAGGATGGTCTTCATCCAACTAACTCTTGCTGGTTAGCTACAGATAATGCAGCAACGTTTACTGGTAAGTATCGTGCTACTTTACAATTGAGTCTTTTACAATGCGATGAATTGTTTTAGGCATTCACGAAGGTGTTATTGCAAAACTCAAGCGTCATTTATCTGCAGAATGGTTAGAATCAACTCCATGTGTTGCTCATTCATTCGCACTTGTTGGTAGTGAAGCATCATATTTACAAAAGTCTACCCGTATGTAATCTTTGTATCTAAACTTCAAAATTTAAGCGTTGTTTTCAGATACTCAAAAACCAATTCGTGCTGAGTCTGTTGTTAAACTAGAAGCGACAATTACTGACATTTACAATTATTTTGGAAGAAGCAGTAATCGTCAGTTTAGATTGAAATCTTGGCAGGCATTTATGGAAATGCCAGAAATAAAAATGAAAAAAATATTTGATATTAGATGGTCATCTATCAGTGGTTGTATTAAGCCAATTGTCGATAATGTTTATCCAGGTTTTTAGATACTGAACGATTACAAAAACCTATGATAAGAATTTGTTTCATTTAGGTTCACAAGCACTTTTAACTTGTCTTCAACAAATTATGTTGAACACTAATTCATCTAATACAGAACGTGAAAATGCTAAAAATTTATTAAACTCGATTTTAGAAGATGAATTTTTATTTCTGTTGCATATGCATCATGATCTACATGAAATAGTACTAAGTAAGCTCCCATATTTAACAAATATGTCGACGAAAAGATCTCCTATTTTCTTGATATTTTTTTTTTTTGAAAATCTCAGGTCCTATAACTAAAATTATGCAACATGACAACCTTTCATATTTTTATTTGATGGAAACTATAGCTGAAAAAAGAAAAATTTTGAGTTGCTGGGCATCTGAATCATCATCGAGTATGGGACCAGCATTATGTGATTACATCGAATTTACAGAACCAGGATCTTTTGGTGGATTTAAAATCGAATTAGGTGATAGAAAAAAGTTTCGAAAAGATTGTCGTGAACATGTAGAACGATTGATTCAACAATTAGATAAACGTTTTAAGCCTTCTATCGTACAAGAAAGCTTATGTATATTATTTGATCCTCAACATCTCATAAAAAACAAAGCAATGTTGGATTCCATTGATTATGGTCGATCTCAATTAAATTTTCTTCGTGGAAAATATAAAAATTTTCCGAGATTTGATTCTAATGTAGTTAGACATGAGTGGGAGTCACTTAAGCCCTGTATAAGTGACTTTATACAAAATTCGTCATCTATCAATACAGATAAATTATTTTGGAAAACTTTTGTTGCTTTAAAACAATCGACGAATAATGATTTCCTTCGTGAATATAAAAATATACTGATTTTACTCAATATTTATCTTACTTCATCAACAAATTCAGCTGAATGCGAACGAGGAGTATGCTGCAGTTCATATTTTCACCACTGCATGTCACATTGTTGTCTTTTTTAGTTTTCAGCTATGAATCGTATTCAGACAATCGGAAGATCTCGGTTGATGATATCAACATTGGATACACTTATGACAGTGCGAATGCTTCTAAAGGATGATATTAGAAGGTAAGATAAAGTAATCATTTGATGTTTAATTCATGTATTAAGTATTGATTTGTAGTGCTAGATGTCAATATATTGTAACAGAAGCATTCAAATCATGGAACTCTAAAGATTGTCGACGTCGTCTTCATGAAATTCAAGTGTTGGGAGATGTCAGTGATGATTATCAACCGGTGAAGCAAGTTCGTTCAGTTACTAAAAGACGTGTGTCTTTTATCGGATCTCAAATTAGGTGCAAGAAGTCGAAAGACTTGAAATCAAAAGCAATTAAATGTAAGACTTTAGATATGCATCTTTTTAGATATTGTGGAGTAGTTTTTTAGGTGCAAACGGGTGTAAAACAAGTATTTCTGGAGATGATCCAACACAAAAAGAAGCTATACAATGTTGCCATCAGGATGATCAATTTGAATGGATTGAATATGATGAGAACTGTTCCAGGTGGTTATGTAATGGGTGCAGAATAAAATTGAAAGTTACAACAGATTCGATTTGGTTTTGCTCAGATCATATTGATATGCACGACGATGATAATAATGATGAATCAAATTAACTGATGATGATATTGAAATTTGAAATAGTAAATATAAGTTGCTCTTGTTTATGTGGTACTAGTTTTCTATTTTTATGTGATAAATCTTCTTTAATGAATCAGATAGAAAAAACTTTTTTCCTTGTTCTCTTGTTGTTTATCTATATCTGATCTTTTTTTTAATTGACAAATATAAGATAAGAACATTTTTCGTCTTTTTTTTTATGTGAAACTTCAACGTTGTACATTTTGTACAT